CTAATACGAGTTGGGTAGTCCTACACTCAAGGTTTGGGATTTGTCTCTTGGGAAAAGTATCTTAAAAGATAATTGAATTCATTTAAGATTAGAAGATTTTGAGTATCATATCTCTCGAAAAATCGATCAAATTGGAAGACACTATAAACAATTTGATTATGTAAAAAAGAATATTTATGATATGTTCCTAAATGGTCTCAAAAATTGATCTAATATGAGTTGAGTAGTCCTATACTTAGGGTTTGGGATTTGTCTCTTTGAAAAAATTATCTTAAAAGATAATTGAATTCATTTAAGATTAGAGGTTTTGGAGTGTCATATCTCTCGAAAAATTGATCAGAAGACACTATAAACAATTTGATTATGTAAAAAAGAATATTTATGATCTGTTCCTAAATGATCTTAAAAATTGATCTAATATGAGTTGGGTAGCCCTACATGATGGGGATATAAACAAGAATAACCTTTGTATATGAACAAATACTAGAAGACCATAATACGCAGCGGAATTAAATGAAATCACAATCAAATAGAACATCAAGATATATGTGAAAAACCCCTTCAATGTGAAGGGTAAAAACCACCCGGCAAACTAGAGATAATCCACTATGAGAATAATGAATATACAAATCTCAATCTCTTGCCCTAAACCCTAGCAATAATCACAAGAGAATAACTGGGATACAAGGATCACGTCACTACCCACAATATCTAAAACCTCCCCAAGTAATCACAGCAAGAGTCTACTGTAGATTTGATCTAACCTGAGATGAGAACACTACTAGATGATTGAGAACAGCCTCTCTGCGTTGTCCTTGTCTTCTTCCCTTTCTTTCTCTTCCTTTTCTGCGTAGCCACCACACCCCCCTAATGTTAATTAGGGTTAGGTTAAGAGGGGGTGTGGGCTGTGGGGTGCCCAAGCCCACTATGAGCTGAATTTGTGGACTGCCAGCCCAACACTACACTCTAAGGTTTGAGATTTGTCTCTCGGGAAAAGTATCTTAAATGATAATTGAATTCATTTAAGATTAGAGGTTTTCGAGTATCATATCTCTTGAGAAATCGATCAGAAGACACTATAAACAATTTGATTATGTAAAAAAAAAATATTTATGATTTATTCCTAAATAATTTTAAAAATTGATCTAATATAA